TACTTCTTTTCTGGATGTAAGAACACTAGCATGACCAAGGCTCGGGTGTCACAATTTCTATTTCTGAGCTGTACATGTGTTCATGTGCCTATCAATATTCGATCAACGGGTCAAATTTATTGGATTTTTAGCGCAGTCCGGCGATGAGGAGGGGCATTTTGTATTTTTGCTGCTTCACTCGTTCGGGTGAGCAAGTCTCATTCTGGTGAAGCCGGTGAAGGCTCGTGAAGCTGGAGCAAGCTTGCCCAGCCACCATGGTAAAATATGTCATTTCCTGAAAGCTCACGAGTAGCCCTCTAGATGGCTCAACACGTGGAGGGGAATTGGCAAAAGGGCTAAATGCCCCACCCCGTCGCCGAACTGCATTGAACTATGTTTATATAAATGGGTCAATTGTGCGGCTTATCCCCGAGCAACTGGGCAATAGCGAGCGATTTACAGTCCCTGCGAACGATTGGGAGTCTCAAGGCGCCAGCCTGTTCTACACCAATTGTGATCCCTTGCCAACCTTCACAATTGTGGAGAACAGCTTGGTGCCGCCCCAAACCAAACCCCCTAAAACGCCCCAGCGTCCACAGAGAAGAAGACTGTACAAGTCTTTCATCCACAGCTTAGAGTTTTGTTACAGGGATGGATAATTCTCGATTTTTTCATGATTGAATTCTCATGTGATGGAGGTAGGTGATGGCATGTGACACTACACTCCCCCTGCGCGCACCATCAACAGATCGGACCTCTTGCCGGCTCCTTTTCTTGCCATGCACGCCGCTTGGACGATGCAACATTCAGTAGAAAAAAGTGCTGGCTTGCTTTTTGCTGAGCAAATTCATTGGCAGGCCGCAACACATTCATGTGTGGCCGCGACGATTCTGAATGAAAGCAAAAGCATGGCGCACCTCAAAAGTGGGGATGAACGTCGAAACTTTCATTTTCTTCTTCATGGGTGATTTTTGGTACTTTAAAGAGCGATTTCAGGAGTATCTATCCGAACGTTATATGGTACGTGACAAGAGAACACAGCTAGCTGAATCGTTGGGACTCTCCGAGGCCCAAGTGAAGACATGGTTTCAGAATCGACGAGCAAAGGACAAGAGGGAGAAGAAAACCGACAGGTGGGTGATTCTCGCAAGCCACCTAAAATCATAATGGCTCAAGGAATTTTGATTGCTGAGGTTTCAGTCCGCAAAGAAGCCCGTCGGATTCAGCAAATGTCTCGGTGGCGGATGATTCTGTCCTAGAAAACAGCGTGAGTCATCGTGTGATTACCTCTTTCTCGAAACTGCTATTTGAGGAACAGAACCAATTAATCTATGTGAATTCAGCTGTCCTCATCGTTGATGTCGCCGTCGCCATCTGTCGAGCCAGCGACTGCCGTGACGGGAGATCCGACACCACCATCTCAAGTGAAACCAGCCAGTCCGATGCTTCAAAATAATCAAGTACTCTCCGGTCTTCTACAAGGGCGCTCTCTACCGGAATATTCGCCATATTTCACCAGTTTGGCGCTACCTCATCCCGAATCAGCGCCGCCTGCATTTCTTCATAGTCCTGTGATAAAATCGGAGACCATGGAGAGCGCTGTAAAGGACATCTACAAAATGCCTACAAATATCTACGAACAAAGTTTCGTTCCCTTGTACACTCACATTCCTTACAGTTTTAGCCCAGTTACTTCGTCCAATAGTCCAGGCTATGTTCCTGAACCTTTAGCACCAGTTGCCAATGATGAGGCATTGGTGGCTGAACCAACTCAACTCACTGCTCTGTAATTATATACTAATGATCTGAAGACACTTTCACACATCAGCAGATCTGTTGGTGCTGTTCGGCGATGGGGGGGGGCATTTTGCACTTGCTACTTCCCATCGACGTGTCGACCCATCTAGACAGCCTCTTCTCGAGTTGACAGGTTTTACCATGATGGCTTGACGAGCTTGCTCCAGCTTCACAAGAGTTCACAGGTTTCACCAGAGTGAGACTTGTAAACCGGAACTAGTGAAGCAACGAAAGTGCAAAATGCCCCCCCCCCGTCGCCGTACTGCGCCGGTCTATTCACCCATATAGTTTGCGATGAGAAATCGATTTTACGCGCCTATAATCGATATCCATTTCTGTACATGAATGCTCGATGTGCGAAAGTGATCTACAAACTACTTAATCAATTCTTGATTTCATTTGAAACTGTGTAGTTCACATGTTTAATAGCGTATTGTATTTTTGAATAATGTTAGCTTTTTTGGTTTTACTTTTTTATACTGGTAGCCCTTCATTCCGCTATTTTATTTCTTATTTTTATAATGTATGTGCTATTTTTTCACATATCGATTGTACCATTATAATTGTCGCTCGTTTTATGGCATTGAAACGCATATCTGTGTATAATAGTAAATAAATGTGGATATCAAATATTCTTGAAGGATCTGGAAGAAGAGAAACCATCGTTCCTTCAGGGATTGGTCGCTTAGAAGGGCTCGTATTTGGCCCTCACAGAAAGTTTCCATATTTCTACTTCCGCTCTTTCACGCGCACTACATACTCTCCCGAAGATGGGAAGGGCGGGGACTGCGAACTTCATTAATATGGTGCAACATGGGCTTCAGTGAGGATGTTTATCAGTTGCTATCCTGACTTGGCTGGATGGCATGATGTAGATGATTACGGCCGTCCAAAAGTGAAAATATCCTA